CAAAATAACAGTAATATCATCAAAATTATTGATAAAGTATTGTTTGGACAAAAATCAAACAATGTGTTAAAGTTTCTAGAGTGCAATTGGAAAAATTGTTCATAAATTCAAACAAACTTGGTCAGTGGCAGATGTGAAAATGTCATTGTTTGCTTGTTTACACCGTTCAGCTGAAAACATTGCTGCAGTGCATGAGAATGTGACCGAAAATCCAGACATCTTCATTCATCATCGTGCACAGGAATTGAACCTCTCCACAACAATGTTACATCGTTTCCAATTACACTTTCAGTAAGTGTGTGAAATGCATTTTGTTTGAATGTCTATTTTTGTAATAGGCTTCGATAACTTTAATCTATTGTTTGATTGTTAATCTTTCCATGGTTGAAATTGTCAAAGTTTTAAGTTGTTAAATCTGAAAGAAAAAGAAATCATTAGATGCTTAAACTTAATTCACATTTAAAATCACTTCAAGTTATTGGAACACACTTTATTAAATTGAAAAGAAATTCATTGAGGTTGATTTTCTTCATTAAAAACATAAGTTTCCAGGTGTTCATATTAAATGTCATAATGTAAATTTTAATGCTCAGAAAGTAAATATATGATGTATAATGGTCACAGAATCCATGGCTAATGGTGGTGACTGTTTCACAATTGAAATCTTGTTCCATCAAGTGGTCTTAGTTTGTTGACTGTATCTATGATAGCTTTCATGCAAATAAATTGGGTTGAATTTCTGTGTAAAAAGAGATGTCCCTGTGCTTTCAAATGCTTATTGAACATGTGAAAGCAACAGAATCTGGTAAGAACGAAAGCATAAAAAATTACGGAAGATGTGGTTCTACAGACAAATGCTGAAAATACTCTGGATAAAATACACAAGTAATGAAGGAGTTTGAAAGAAAAATCAGAACTGCAAAGGTAATAATACTTATAAAAAGAAAGTGGAAGTTGAAATTTCTGGGTCAGGTTATGAAGAAGTATGGCTTGGCAAATTTAATACTCACAAGATATACCAAGAGAAGGCAAAGGGAAACAGTAAGAAACTTATCTAAGAGGTCCATGTGGACAGATTAGAGAGCAGGGATAATGAAGGATAATAAAGAGTCAACCTTTGCTTGGTGCTACAAGTGACAGGAGGTTGTGGAGAGCCATGATCACTAACTTCCTGAATGGACACTTCACATTAATCATTTTATATATATATATATATATATATATATATATATATATATATATATGGCCTGGATTGTGTTTAGCATGAAACAGACTCCCACTTCTGGGTATTGACTTCAATGTCCACTTTTATATTTACATACACACTATCCCTGATAGTGAGCACTTTAACCCATAAATGTAGCACTTCTTAAAACTGTATATATATATAATAGCTGGCCACTCATATTCGAGGATACCCACCTATTAAGGTGGCAAGCCAATCCCTATTGCAGGCGCTCGCTCAGGACATTTGTGTTTGTTCAACACCCACAGAGGCAACTTGTGCCTTGTACTGCAAATATTCTGAACAGACTTTAGTTACAGTTTCTGGGAGAGAGCGTGTTATCTAGCATGATCAACAATCTGAACAAGGCCAGTACAATCAAACCCTCAATCATGATGACTTGTGACTTCATGCTTGCACAGCTATTGATGGCCCCCAAATTTTCCGTCTAACCATTTTCACTCATAAGGCTTGGGTCAACCCATGGTATGGTTTTCAGGCACTTTCCAAAGGTGCTGCACATTGCGATTGACCCCTCCAGGCTGATAACATCAGTAAGTTTACTTCCTGACTATTATTCAACCATGGTTAGATTTGAACCCAGGTCTCATGGTCAGAAAGCAAACATTCTAATGACTCAGTTTTATTTATATATATATATATATATATATATATATATATATATAATGTTTATTTATATATATATATATATATATATATATATATAAATTTTAAAAAAAAAAACAGACCACTTTAAGGTACCATTATAATAATTTATTTCACCAGAGTCCTTTTAAAAGCACTCCAGATCATCAGATAGCACTTCCAACAACGAAATGAAACAAAAAATGAGATTAAAATTGATGGGTAGTGTAAGTTTTTGTAATTTAACAGGGGGTGTGAGAGGGATAGTTAAAGAGACATGGTAGAGTATAGGGAGGGGTTAATTTCATATCTCTCTCAAGTATACTTTATATTGTGGGAGGAGGAGTGACCAGACCTTGACCTATTTAGATGGTTAACTTAACAGAAATGATATATAGAAATGGGAGGGGAGTAGGTAGAAAAGAAAAAGGAGCATTCGGTAGGCAAGGTTGAATATACTGCTTATAAACTTCAATCTTGCCTACCGAATGCTCCTTTGTGGCCGAGACGGTAAGGCATGTCAGCATAAATGACGGTTCCATATAGGATGCAGGTTCGAATCCTGTCAAAGGACGAATATTTTCTATGAAAATTTCTCGGACATTCAGGCCGGTAAATGTTATTTAATACTGTTTATTATAAAACAGAGCATTTACTTAAATACTTGTATCTATAAAAAAGAACGTTAAACATAAAAATGTCTTTAATAAATAAATTGTCGGACTTTGTCCATTTCTTAATATATATATATATATATATATATATATATATACAAATAGGCTTGATTAAAAAGAACCAACAAGGTCTGTTAGTTTAACCTTTTAGCATTTTTCCATTTTTTGAATAATTTGTTGAGTATTGTGCTTGGATTTGTAGATAAAGCGTCTGAAGTTAATATTTTGTTATTGTTTTGTTCAAATATTTTCAACTATTGTAGTCATTTTCAAGAATCAGTATGGTGCCTTTTGTTGACATCCTGATATTTTTTCTGAAGCTGGACATTTGAACTAGTCTGTGATGATGTCATATGTGTAATGGTTATTGGGGATGAGATCGCACAAAAAGAGTGCAGTTTATTTATTTTTTTATTATTTATATTTTATTATTATTATTATTATTATTATTATTTTTCCCATCTTTTATTAACATAATATATACACACTTTAAATATATCATATGCATTTCAATATAGCATCTCATATAGTGAATGATATTTTATTTAATGTTGGTTGCTTATATTGTATAATAATACCTTCTAGCATTTTGAGTCTTTTCTTCCATTATAATAGATAAATAAATAAATTGCATACTTTTTGTGCAGACTCATTCCCAGTAACATTTTTATGTACAAGGTAACCAAAAAAGTTCTGTCCGTTTTTAAAGGAAAAAAAGAAAATGCTTCACAGTATGTGTAACTTATATTTAGTCTTCAAAGTAATCACCATCGGCATCCAGCACCTTCTGCCAACGTGTCTCCAGCTGTTCAATGCCCTTGCAGCAGAACTCGGGGGGTTTTGCCGCAAAAAAAGTCCATGAAGGCTTTGCGCAAGTCTGTTTCATTGGTGAAGGATTTCCCACGAAGATGATTATCCAGGGAGTGGAAGAGGTGGTAATCAGATGGCGCAAGGTCAGGTGAATAAGGTGGATGGCACAAAGTCTCCCAACCAAGTTGCTGTATGGTATCCCTGACCACTTGCGCGACATGTGGCCTGGCGTTGTCATGGAGGAAAAGCACACCTTTGCGATTCACCAGTGCTGGCTCCTTCTGGCGCAATGCCTGTTGCACACGTTTCAATTGCTGCAAGTATAGGTCTCCAGTGATCGTTTGGCCTGTTGGTAGCAGTTCATAATGAACCACTTGACAACCTGTCCACCAGGCACAAAGCATAATCTTGTGTAGAAGCATAGGCGGTCTTGTGGTGTGAAGGACAGCATCCTGAGGAGACAACCAATGTCTGGAATGCTTGGAAGTTTTGTACAGAACCCACTTTTCATCACTGGTAAGCACTCGATTGAATAAGGATGGAGTACAGTGGCAAAAAAGCAGTGATACGCAGACTGCCACTCATTGTCCCTTGGGGACCTCCAACAGCGTTTGCAGAACCCACTTGCTCAGTTTGTACGTCTTACCTAGGCGGTGCAGGTGAAGTCTAACTGTTTCATCAGAAACGTTGAACTGTCTTGCAAGTTCAACACACGTTAGACTACTGTCCTCTTCAATGGCCGCCTTCAGGACTCCATCATTCAAGACCTGTGGTCGTCCACTGTGAGGCTCATCATGGAGAGACAAATCTCCCAACTTGAATTTTCGAAACCAACACCTTGCAGTACATTCATCCACAGCACTATCCCCAAACACTTGACATATGCGGCAACTTGATGCAGCTGCTAATAAGCCCACTTTGAAGTCGTAAAGCAAACAGCCCTGAACAAGATCTCTAGACACTTCCATCCTTCTCACAGCTGTCCAGCTTATAACTGATGGCCAGGCATGGTGCGCATGTTTTTTATAACATCTGATGTTCCTACTTCCAGCTGTCCAAATTTGAAAACAATTGCTACACACATTTCATATATATTTCAACTTCATTCAATGACTAATCAAAAAACAGACAGAACTTTTTTGGTTACCTTGTATATTTGTTAGATTTCCAAAATATACTATTTATAATGTTAGCATTGCTTGCTTCCCTTTATGCACAGTTTACTTTTACTCCTAAGCTGTACTGTAAAAGCTAATGTGGTTACCACTTTCAGAGCAGAAAATTACTTAATTTGACTAAGGAATTTAATAATACAAGCCATCATTAAAACAATTGGCTATTTATGAAGATCAGAGAAGACTTTAAAATCTTTTCTTTATCCCCCCCTTTGTCTAATCCTGTCTAATACTTAAAGTGATATCGTCTCACTTTGGGGTTGCTAGGTGGATTCTCATTTTCTCCTTAATTCTCAGTTTTTAATGAGAATATTTCACCTGATGTCACCAGATTTCTTTTACAGCTGTAATTTTGTGTGGCAGTGTCAGGTTGACTTGAGACATAGGCTAAAACATGCTATTTTTTTTCATCATCACAGATGGTTGCCTATCATAACAAGGCAGAAAATACAAATAGTTGTTTGACTAAAATTAATGAGGAAAGAGGAAGAGGTAAAAAGAAAAAAGAATAAGATAAAAAAAAAAATGCAAAAGAAAGAAAGAATAAAAGGGAAATAAATAAGACAATAAGGAACAATAGATGAAAGAAAGGAAAAGGAAACAGAAGTAAAAGCAAAATGAAAAATCAAGAAGAGGAAAGAGAAGACAAAAGGGGGGAAAAAGAGAAGAGGAAGTAAAGATAAGAAAAGGAGAAGAAAGAAAAATAAGAAATAAAAGAGAGAGAAGAAAAGATAATGAAAGAAAAAAGATGTGATGAATATGAAAAGGTGTGAAAGAAATAGAAGGAGTGGACAAAAGAAAAAAGATAGAGAAAGAAAAATAATGCCAAAAAGAATAAAGGAGAGAAAGAAAAATTAAGAAAAGGATGAGGAAGAAATAAATTGGATAGAATAAAATAGAAAAAGAAAGAAAACAAAGAGTAAGAATAAAGAGAAATGAAAAAAAGGGGCAGAGATAACAAAAATAGGAAGATAAAGGAATATATAAGAAGATAGATAAAGAACAAGAGGCAGGAAAAAGAGAGAAGGGAAAATAAAAATTATGAATAACAGAAAGGTGAAGGAAAGAAATAGGAAGAAAGAGAAGGAAAAAGGGATGGAAAATATAAGAAAAGTGGAAAAGGGGAAGGATAAAAGTGAAAGAATTAGAAAGATAATAAAAGGGGGAAGAAGAAAGAAAAAGAGAGAGAAAATATGAAAGAAGAGAGACAAAAAGAGAAAAAGAAAAGGTGTACAAAAAAGTGAAAATATAAAAGAAAAGTACATGAAAGAAGAAAGAGGTGAAAAGAATAGGAAAGGTGAAGGAAGAAGAAAAGATGGTGAAAGAGAGTAGAGGAAGAGGAAGAAAGAGAAAAAAAAGGAAAAAAAGAAAGAGAAGACGACCTGAAAGAAAACAAATAAGTAAAGAGGGAATAGGTTGAAGAATATGATAAAATGTGGAAAAAGAATGAAGAGGAAAAAAAAAAAGGTACAAGAAAGGCAAAGAAAGAAGAATAAAGGCAAGGAAGAAAGAGAAGTAAAAGTGAAGCAAGAAAGGAGCAATAATGAGGGAAGAAAGAGAATAAAAGAAAGTGAGAGAGAAGTTTGAAGAAGAAGAGAAAGAAGTTAGAATATAGACAGAAACAAAGAAAAGGTAAATGGCAAATCTCATGGAAAAGGAAAGGAAATCCAAAAAGATTCAAGGACAAGAAGAATGAAAAAATAAACGAAAAGGACCTTCACATGAAAAAAAGAAACAAAGAAATGAGAAAGAAAATGAGGAAAGAAAGAAGAATCTTGCTACATTATTCCTAAGATTTGAATTCAATTATTCCATCAATTGCATTTGTTGACTGACTGTCATTGAGCAAACAATCAGCATTTATTGGAAACTGCCAACGGCTGTTGCTTCCAAGATACAAATATTACATTCTGTCAGATTTTATGCCAAGGTCACTGCATCTGGACATTTCTGTCTGATGTGTATTCTACATTTAAACCAGAAATTCAAGGCTGTTACTTTTAACTCAGTAATAACCTTGGAGAAGGAATACAAGCAAACATCGTGTTGAGCCCAAACAACTTAGGTCTCTGATCACTGCTTTCAAGAAATAGTTTGTGGATTAGTTTGAAAGCTGTTTGCAGTGAGTTTGATACACACTGGGTGATCTCTAAATGTGCCAAAATTAACAAAATTCAAAATATTTTGCTATTCATTTGATGAAATGTACATCATTATGTCTATAACCTAATGTTGAAAAAAAGCAATCATTTTGCATAAACAATATTTATTTTCCAAAATAATTTCCTTCTTGTCAATGCACTTAATACAAAAGGGGAATATTAATCACAATGATTAAACATTATGCAGTGAAGCTTTTGGATCAGAATTCTCCTAAAAATGTTATATCAGGCTAGAAACTTATTGATCCACTCCTATGTCTAAGCTAGGACCATACTTTTTGAAACCTTTTGGACTGGCGCTACAGAATCACAAACCATTGTACCAAATATCAGAAACTATATCACTCTGCTCTACTATTTAATCCATAGCTATAAGGGGAGAAGGAATGACTTCATACCTTTTGTTAGTGTATTTGCACAAAGGTCAATATGTCAAATGTCTAGAATTTGAATTCAGCTCACAATTTTCTCATTCTGAGCCAATGACCATATTGGATGAGTGTATTATTGAAAATTTTCTATAAGGAAAATAAGTGTCAGATTTGAAGATAGAGCATTTGTAGATTGTTAGTGTTGTGGCCTGTTTAGGGGTGAGAAAGAAAGACATGGAAGACGAAGGTAGGTTGGAAAAGTATATTGAAGATATATACAAAACAATAGTGTTAGTAATAAGTAGATTAGCACTGCGTCTACTACTCCACTTCACTCTATCCGACTCTCGCAGTTTGTATTTATGAGAGGAGGAAGAGTTCATTCTATTGTAGGAGGGTTTACCACAACAGTTATTGACTTAGGGAAGGTTACAGAATAGAATAATCACATGAAGGTTGGTAATGAACGATAATACTTAGGACAAGAACAACACTTATAAGATTCACCAGCAGTGCATAGAAGAAGTAGTACTCAACTGATGCAGATCAACATAAAGTATTTACTACTGTATTTATGTTGATGGGAGCATACCCATTATCATCTGTAGGTATGCTAGTGAAACAGTCTGTCTCTGGATGAAAATACATACACATATATATATATATATATATATATATATATATATATATAAAATTAATAATCAAGCAAATCCTTTTCCCTCATATTATTAGGGTATATATATATATATATATATATATATATATATACATGTTGTAACCAAGGTAGGGTCACTGAATAGAATAATCAGAAGTTGGTACTGATCAATAATACTTAGGACAAGAACAACATATATAAGATTCACCAGCAGCATGTAGAAGAAGCAGTCAACTGCTAGAAGTGAGTCAATGAATTCCACAATGCAAACCAACATACAGTATTTACTACTGTATTTATGTGAATGGGGACATTATCATTCACAGGTATGCTACAACATAGATATAAAAAATGTGCACATAGAAATCAACACAAAATCACTTGAGGCTGTAAACTGACAGTCACCAATCAGTATGCCCACAGTATATAGTTGTGTATATTTTTGCTGAATCAGTCGACTGGTTCTGTGGAATTACAGATAAGAAAATATGTATATTTGTACAGTTGAACATTAAAGATTTATAGGCTTCTATTGGGAAAGAAATTTTTAATTTGGCAATGAAATATTGACCAAATTAGAATCATCAAGCACTGCCTAAAGATGACTTCTGCAGAAAATATAACCAATGTGGTTGCATAATTATTTAAGTATTACTTTGTTTTTAATGATATGGGTCTTGTTAGGTTGCTTGAAATCAGCATTTATTCTTGAATTAATGTGTTTTAATCAGTTAAAATCAGAATCCTGAACATCTATACATTTCTGCTATCAAGTTACAAGATTATTTATGCCTTCACAATAAAACTGTAATATCTTTGTATGGCATAAAATCTTTGAATACAGTTTCTGAATCTTCTTTGCAGCAGAATGTCTTTTAGTTTAAAAAGTTCTCAAGATGTTTGAAAAAGTGGTAGTCAGTGAGCAAAAAATCAGTGGAATATGGTGGATGTGGCAAAGTTTTGTATCTCAATTCAGTGACCATTTGCAGTGTCATCCTGACAATATGTATTCAAGCATTGTCAAGAAGTAGAATTGGATCTCATTGATTAACCAGTGCTGACTGTATTTCACTTGACTGAATGTGCATTTCATCAAGTTTCTGGCAGTAAACTTTGGCAGTGATGATCTGGTTAGATTCCAGAAAGCTGTAATAGACAATTCCAATGGCAGACTACCAGACAGCCACCATAATCTTCTCTTGATGCAATTTTGGTTTTGCAAAGTGTTTGGATTGTTCAACATGATCAAGTTATTAAGCAAATGGTTTACAATTGTCATAAAGGATCCATTTCTCATTACAAGTCCTTATTTGATCAAGAAATGGATCATTTGAATTTCACAGATACAGCATCAAACTCATTTCAAAGCTTTGACATTCACTAAGTTTGTATGAAACCCATTTACAGCATTTCCTTACAATGCCAATATTCTTGAAATGGTCTGATATTGTTGAAATGCTGACAACTATTATCAGAGACATTTCTATGACAGTTTAACATGGAATTTGTTCAATTAATGTTTTCACATATTGATAGTCAGTTGCAGATGGACATCCTCTACCATCTTTATTTTGATGACTTGTTTCTCCACGGTAAAAATTCAGAAGCCAGCAACACAGTGTCCAGTCACAAGTGGATCCTTCATCCCATGCTCTGTTAATGGTGGCAACAGTTTGAGAAGCATTATGACCAAGCTTGAACTGAAACAATGAAAGTAAATTCATCCTTTCTTTTTTCATGTTCAAGATGAGATGTATATAATGTTTGAAGTTAAATTCCGAAAGAGATTGATATGAAATTAACAAAGAGGACACTTTAATCATTAAGAATGAGTAAAATATTTTTGTGCAACTATTATTATAATAGAACACAAAAAGTTTATTGTAAAATCAGACATTATTTTCCAAATAACAATAGATATTTTTACTTTAAATTATTTAAAAAGGAGAATCCCTTTTTTACATGTGTCAATGCAGTTATTCATATAGATAAAAAAACGTAGATTACTCATGCAGAAAATAACCAATCCAATTGCAAAATTGCTTAAAAACTGCTGTCCTTTCTTTGACAATACAGGTAAATGAGTTTTCAAATATTTAAGAAAGCAGGTAATTTTTCTGTAGAAGTATTTACTGGTATTTATTGGTATTCAAGACACAAATTAAACCAACAGAAATATGCAAGATATTGCAATGAATCCAGTACACTGGTATTATAACTAGGGAGCCATATACTGAAGTCTGAAAGACTTATTTGCAGTGAGGGGGGATTGCACCTCCTACAGTGGTTCCCAAACTTTTTTCTCTGAGACTCATATTTGGAATTAAGATTTGCTCACACCTCACCAAATTTTATGTGATAAAAAGTTCATTTTAAAATAAAAAAAAACAAAAGAGAAGGTTAATAGGAGATAACCACAGATTCAAACTCAGGACAATATCATTGATAACACTCTCCTCCAATTTGCAGACCCTAGTTATTATATTATTAATCTTACTTATTATAAAACCAAGGTTGTGTGTGTGTGTGTGTCAGTATGTTTATATATTGGATCGGATTTCCTACATTTTTCAACCGATTTCAACTAAACTTCACAGGACTACATAAAATTACTTTGCGGTGGTTCTGACAGCGCCAAAAATTGGAAAAACACAATTGTTTTTGCATGAAATCAATTTGAAAACACGATTAAGGGGCATCGCTGTCGAGAATGAAAGGGGGACAACTCATATCGAGTTATACTTATTATAAAACCCAAGTTGTTTGTGTGTGTGTGTGTGTGTTCCTTTATATATGGGATCGGATTTCCTACATTTTTCAACTGATTTCAACTAAACTTCACTTTTTTTTTGGCAGGTAGTGTTTCTTATTGTCTTGCACACATTTTTCTTTATTTTTACATTCAGAATACTTTAAAAATTCCATTTACAAGACAATTGTTTATAATAAAATTCTATTCAATCAGTAGACTCATAATGATTGAAAACAATGTTTTTGTTTGGGATTGACCAATTCATAAAAAAAAACAAAAAAACAAAACAAAACAAAAAAAAAACTAATTAAGACATGCGTGTCTGTCAACCTTAAACAATAATCTTTGTCAATTTTATTTTTCAGTCTTTAAAATGATGGTCGATACTTGATCTATCTCTTACTGTTACATCCCCGGGCAACACTGGGCTCTACTGCTAGTATTTGATAGAATGAAAAAGAATCACAATGATAAAATCAGTCATTAATTATTTATAAATATTTATACTGGAACTCATGTGTATATTTACAAGTAATCCATAATGTTTTAAATTTTGAAATCATATTTATCTTTGGCATATTAATTTTTTGAAACTGTTTGATTATCATTCCATCATTCTGCCTCACCTGCTATCCTCTTCCACCACACCTATGAGTCAGACTGCATCATTTAGGAATCACTGACCTAGTAGGATGTGCTGTTAGCATAAT